TTATTCACTTCCACCCTCGTTTTTGCTCGACATTTCCGAAGAGTGTATTATATTATGCATAGTCTTAGGAATAATATCAAATAACAATGAATTAAGACTTAATTAATTACGAAATATATATGTACGTACTTAGAGTAAACTTGCAAACTCGTCTTTTGTGCATGGCGTCAACGTTACGACGAATACTCGCAAACATTAGATAGCGCTCCGAAAGAACGTGCCGAGCGGGCGGTCGCGTCAAAGTTTGATGAATGATATTTTGTTCGTTTTGTAACGGAGGCGGCACTGGCGTCGGCAGGCTGTAAACTCAAACGTTATTGTTCACCAGAACGGAACGAAACGCAAACGTCGCACCCGGGCCGAAAGTGCGGAGATTAAATGTTAAATGTTCGGATGTGGTGGCGGCGTGCGAATAAAGACAGGAAAGATTAATCGAACCGATGACTTCTTGAAGCCAAACGGACCGGATGCTTGCCTAACCTACACCGGAAGGAAAACAAAAGAACAGCTTAAAAGCGTTTCACATTTTTAACCTAACCTTGAAATTCCCTAAAAGCAAATTTGCATGTGTTAAATGCGGCTCAAAGTCGAGGAAATGCAAAAAAAGCAATTTTTTTATTGAGGCGCTTTGTCGACGTCCACGTATACCTCTATCGAGGAGGGTGACTCGCGATAGAGGGCAAAAAGGAGCAACAGGAATCGTCGCGTCGAGCTCGCCGCGTGAGCACAAAAGGATGAAATATCACGCACATTTTATATCGCAAATAAAATACGTTTTTTTTTTCTTCACTTCTTCGGCGTGATGTATACGCCGCGAGATTTACACGCGTTTGCATGTCGTAAACGCGCAACCGAGACGTATTTGTCAAACCGGGATGCAAATCAAGTTCGCACGTTTGCTAGAGCCGCCGGGGCCGCCGGGTGTGCACTTACGTGCAAGTTTCCTTGCGTTATTCTTGGCAAATATCAAATTTATCAAAGTGCAATGTTTTCCAAATCGTTGACAGCTTAATGGCAGTCTTTTCCATGAATAAAGGCGTGAATATTATTATCCGATATTCATTGCAAATGTTTTGGAGGACGTTGCGGTGGTGGTTGTGCGAGTACGTGCAGCGCCACTTTAAGTCACCCTTCTTTTTCACCGCCCGGCTGAAAATGAGGTCATTTATCCGCTGATTTAGAGGACGCAGGCGTTCGTAGCCGTTATTAGCATTAACGCTCCGCATTATATCTAATTTATTTCAACACTAAAAGTCGCCTCGGAATAGTGCTGTGGTATATTACCAGCTGAGGACTTTCGCTCCCGTCGAGGGCTTAAGATTCCACGTGCCTGACGCCGAAAATTCCGCAGCAAAAATTGGCCGTTCCTGGGGCTTACTCATATCGTACTCACTTTTACTCACTTGACTTTCATCTCCTTTTATTCACCGCCACTATGCATATCGTTCATAATAGCGTGAAACTTTAATCGTAACTCACGCGAGCTGTTTGTATTCTTTATTGAATCAAAAGCTTCACCTCACCGTTAGCACCGAGTAAAACGCATCAATTATTCAATCGGCGAATTACAAGCTAAAAGCGTTTGATAATTAACATTCTTCATGGCTTTTCCTGTGGTGGCTAGCGTCTTCACAGTGGATTACATTTAGCAAATTTCCGAAAATTCTAAAAAACGCATGTTGAAATACAATTCTTTTTTACTTCACATGCACTGCTTTCATGGGCAAGATTACACGTTAATGAGAAGTTGCATTAACACAATTTAGCTTGCGCTTTTAGAAATTTTGCATTTCTAATTGCGCTCGTCATGAGCAATAAAAATTAATGAACGTACTTCGTAGATCCCTCACATCATTACGTCATTCATGAAGGTAGTATCTTTCTATGTTTCTCAATGCGGTATTTAACATTGACAAGGCTTCTTGCAGTAAAAGTTAGTTGCATAAAATCAACCAGTTTGCGTGAGTTGCTATGACAGTCATCAAACAAGTTACTGGAACAGTTGGATCGTTGCATTACGATGCTCTCAACTTTATAACAGTCTATGATGTCATTGTTAAATAATTACTCTTGGAGTTTCGCATCCAACTAACTTGTTTCGAATATACTAAAAACTGTAACTAGTAACTACAAACATTTTTCTCACAATAAAGTTAAATAAACATTTTATTGGTTATGTTTGAATGTGTGTGTGTGAGTTCATATTCAATTTGTTGAGTTGAAGTTTGTGTATGGAATATTTTATGCATGGAGGATGGAAAAATAGTCAAAATACATTCAATTCTTATTTGTTTCTCGTGAAATGAAACGGTCGTTTCAGCGCGTGTCATAAATTTCGTGCATGCATCGATCGTTGCAGCGTCGTTTGCATTCCGCTAATAAATATAAGGCATCGCACGAAATAGAAGCGCGTAAAATTCACCCGACGCTCGTAGTGCACTTGCCATTCCGAATGTTGTTTCGATCTTAATCGTAAAATTTACTGCGGATTTTTCTCCGTTCGCATGCATCTCGCGCCTTGTTGATGTCTAACGTTTGCAGATCGAAAGGCAGATAGTTGAAAATCAAATATTCGCCAAGATCAGATTTGATGTAAACTCGTAAACCATTTTTCTTGACAGTTCCAACGTAATCATAAAAATACATAAATTTGATTTTAAATAGTGTTAATTTGAGGTTATGAAAGTCAATATATGCGGATTATTTTGTCATTTTTATAGGTTATGATTTGTGATCAACAATTTTTAGTTAAGCCATTCATTTGCAGGCATCATGGTTGAATTATGAGGCGATGGTAAGTTGTGTTCTATCGCGCTGCATTGTATTTTCGATATTTTCACGTTGGGCATACATATAATCTCGTCACGGAGTTAATTTACACCGGACGCGACTATAAAAATGATGTAAACGTTGAAACGTTGGACGGCTGGAAACGCTGAAAGCTTTTTACTCGAAAACGTACAACACGCGCGTGTCACACTAAATCGTTTCGCGATCGTTCATGTTCACAGCCTCGTTCACAAAACAAATATGACATTACCGGCCATCGTTTCGCCTCAGCTTCGCATTTCGCATTTCACATTTCTGTTCCCTTCATTTACCCTTTCGCTGTTTGTTGTTGGTTGTTTTGGCCGTGTGGCGTTTCACCTCTCCGCTAACTAGTTTCGCGTTCGGCGGTTTGGATCGCATGCTGACGATGTCGCGTGGCCACTGTATGTTTTCCGTTTTCTGTTTTGTGTGTTGTGTGTTTTTGCAACCACGGCGCCGGTTTTTTTATAAGCTTGCAATTTATTTGCTCCCGGTCGGCCGTGAATATCCACGAAAATGGTTAAACAGCTGAAAGAGTTAAATAGTTTGCCGGCTGTTTGGCGCACGCATAATAAGGCGCATAAATAGGCGCAAAGGCACACGCCTTTGAGGGCAAACTGGGGGCGAACATGCCTTCGTTTATCGGACGCGAAATTTATAGTATGCGACTTCAGATGGAATGACTGCGTAATTTATTACCGGGAAACACGATACTTAAGTCACGTCACATTTTTACCGCGCCCACATTAAACGTACCCACTCGCCCTATTAACGAGATATGAACACACACAGACAAACATCGTAAAAAATTATAACAGAAATACCTAAAACTAAAGCCAGAAAGCGAGCAAATCTACTGCGTTAATCTGCACAGGTCCGACTACTAAGTGACCAGGAATGAAATATGTCCGACATTCGACGCCATATTGGACGCCATTACTCTACCGCCGCACCTTCGCATTCCGGCGCGCGAAAAAGAGCGAAAATAAAGAAATTACGCTCAAAATTACATTTAAATGAGCGTAAGTTTATTATAAATGAGGTACCTAAATCGTCGCAGATAGCATCGCGGCTATCGCGCGACCTTCGTGTTCGAAATATGCGCGCGCATAAATTGCGCCCCCTCCGAATTAATAATCTCGCGTCGGTGGCCAGAGGTTTTTAACTAAAAATGTACCAGTCCACACGAAAAATGATTAAAAATGTTTTCTGTTTTCCGGTCTGCGTAGGTGCGCGAAGGTGTAGCGTAAATCACTCGAGCACATTTGCGACCCTAGCGCCGGCGAGGAAATGAGGAATGCATTTTTAGTCCGTTTTTCAGTCCATTAAATTACTTTATTTCATTTATTTCCTCGTTTTTCGGTGCGGGAAACGCTTACATGTGCCGAATTCCGTACGATTAAATTCCAAAACATGAAAAAAAGTACGTGTGAAGTGAATGAAAATAATAATGTGCTCTACGGAATGTTCATGTGTTCATTAATTAAGGTTAATTGCGTTAAACTGTTAATTTATAACAACCAAATGCTCTCTTTATCGCACTAAGTATGAGGATTAAAATGAAATGTTGAATAACACATTTTTACGATTCTAAATATAGATCTTTATATTATCGACATGCGACTGGTGAATTGAAGGCGTGGTAAGCACAAATTCCGAATTGTTAAAGTTAAAACTGGTCGACTGCGGTGCGAAACGAGTTCTTTTGTGGCGCAATACAATATCGCACGCACCCCCACGTGGCAGTGGCGTGTCCGTACGGCAAATACACAAACGTGATAAATTAGAAAAGCTTATAGATTTGCTGTTTGCGATAACGATTATTAATGCGCGCCGCATACACGGCGATCGGTTGAATTAATTGCAGCTTTCTTGCCGTGCGTCTGCATCGCTGCCGGCTGCACTTACCACTTCGAAGCGTTTTTCCTTTCAACTGGTGCGCATTGTGGAAATTGTGGAAAATGCACCGCTGTGCGTTTATTGTTCTTACTCCAGCTATCGGTGGAATGTAATTTTTGTGTTTTGCATTTCTATGCAGTTTTATTTTAATCACGTGCTTTGTTGTACGTATTTTCACTGTTAAGAAAACAACTCTGCTTTCTTTGTTTGTAATCATGTAGATTTATGTACATCTGAATGTTTTATAATTGCAAATTATGTCGTTGATTTATTTTGTGATTTATTTATTGCAGGTTTGCTAAATCACAATCGACATCGGCGGCCCAAAGGCATCTTCAATCATTCTACATTACCAGTTACTTTAGTATCGTGGAGGTACTAATCGTAATTAAAATGGTCATTATTGGAACCGAGGACTATGGGGCCATTTGTGTTAATTCTAATTCGAAGCAAACGCGATTTACGCATTGAGCATGAATCTCAAATGACAGCAGTGCGTTGCAAGCACCAACAGTCACCGGGGGATCCAACCAACGTGAATGCGAATGTGAATGGAAATGCGAAATTAAGTTTTCACTCGTTGTGTGTTTTTTTAGAGTTTTTTTTAGGATATGCGTTGCGTAAATTTTCCGCATGCGTAAATTCCCACTCGCAAATGGCACACGTGCACTTTTCACACGCCCGCGTAATTTTACACAACGCGCAAATTGAAATCTATAAAAATCCGAAAACGATAGCCGTGCGAAAAAAAATATACAAATGTTTGGCAATCACTTTCGGATTCGATAATCTCCGGCGATTAAATTCAGATTTGTTCTGTGTGCGAGTTCGCGTCTGGTGAATCGATTCGTTCCAGCAAATACGTGCCGTTTTCCTTCGTTTGTAAAATGGCCCAATTAAAATTAGGCGGATGATACGAGCGCACGCGGTGGCGAAGTACAGTGATATTTCATATCGCCGGCGATCTCATTAAATTTTCAATTCGGACTCGAACTCGACCCGCGAGTGCACGCTCTTGGTATTCTCGTCGTGTCCGCCTGGTCATCCTTTCGCGGTCGCCTGCGCTGCGGTCCAAACGTTCGAAAGCGAAAACGGCAATCACCCGACCCGGCCAGTGCACAAATCTGTGCGACACACAAATGCGAAATCTTCTCAATTAATTTTTTTTTGACCAGTGTGTGGTATGTGTTTTTTTGTGCGGTGCGATTCTCGTTTGGACGTTCAGTGTTTTCGGTTGGGTGGCATGGACGCCATCCGAACACTGGATAACATGCTGGTCGGCGATAAAAATGTAGTACTATGCATTTTTTTACCAAACGATTTTTTTTCTTGCACTCGGCGCGATTTTCCATTTAGATGTTTGTTTGTGGAATTGCGCATTTTGTACATTTGTGCATTTGAATCGGTGCACTTTTTTTTAAACAGCCAAATACTCGTTCTCGTTGCAGTGTAGTCAAACAGACATTTACTGAGCATTCAGAACATTCACATTATGCTCTGTTTCTTTATGCGCTGGATTTTATCCTACTCTATCGGAATCAGTCCCAAATATACAGCAAAGTTTTCTGCAGCATTCTTTTTTTTTCGCAGAAAAGTTAAGTTCAAAACTTTCGTTGTACATTGAAACTTAATTAAAAGTGCTACGCTTTAGCTACTTTTAGACTGCCATTACATGCCAAATAAAAAAACGAAAATTTATTTCCACGAATAACGGCGTAACCCAATTTTTGGATTTTTTACTACGTTTTAAATAATAGAATAAAATTGCATAAATCAGTTCAAATTAAATCCTACTGAATTCGCTCTAAAACTGTTTAAAGTAGTTACACTTTTTCATATCAACGCAATTTATTCACCGATATATTCGATATTTTACACTAATATTTTTGAAATTTATTTATTTTCACAAATAAATAAAAATAAAATTACAAGTTCACCACTTTAATTGAATTTTTGTTATACATTTGTTGGCCGGTTCAAATGTTCGAAACAAAATCCGATACAAACGAAAGCTAATAAATATCGTTTTCCTATTTTGCTGCAATATTTCTTCTCGCCGACGGGTTGTGCTGAAAGTCGCGCCGTGCCGTTTTGTAAAAGGTCATTAAGTAATGAATACTCGCCGGTACTGAGGGGTGGACGCGGGCGAAAACCCTCGATACCACCTGTCAACGGCGAACGCCGTGACTTATTACTCTTTGACACGCTCCGTCCCGCTCGACATGTCACGATTATCACAAATTATTCACTTTTTGTGTCGCCAATTGTGCTCGGCAATCAATAAGTGAGCGCAATTTAATTTACACTTAATTTCTTCTATTCCCCTTTGGAAACGTACAAATTCAAACAAAATTCTGAAGCATAATTAACTCTGGGAGTTGAACCATAAGCCATATGAAACGTTTGAAAAATGGATATTTCGGAAAGGGGTGAAGACGGCGAAATGCAATGCTTTACAACTTCTGACTTCAATATCTTAACGATATAACGAGCCAACACAAACGCGTGTATATGTACAACAGACGAGCCATTCATCGATGCATGTAATTTACTTCCGTCAAGCCTTATCGGCCATCTTGCTCTTATCTTGACGTTCGGCGCTTCATTCGGCAACGCATTCGTCTCATTTTTCGCGCTCGCATTCTTTCGCTTCGTCTCGCTCGTCTCGTGTCTCGCTTACGACTCAACTTCTTAATACTTTGCCAAATGCTTACAGGGCTCAAGTAAGCTTTAACTGATAAAAACTTTTCCACCGAGGGTCGTTTTTTGTTCGCTTCTGTTGATTCCACCTCGCTGTGTGTACTATTGCTGTTGCATTGATCTCTTTCAGATGGGACCCGTTGATACATCGCTCGCCCGATAATGGACTATTTGCTATTCGTTAAGTAATATTTAAATGACTGCGCAAACTTTGCCTGGCCTAGTGTCGCACGCTCGACAGAAGTAAATGCGAATTAATGGACACGAACGCAACACGAAATGCCAAGGTTGAATTATTTAGAAAAAGAAATTGCTCTCGCGCTGTGCCACGACGTGCACGGGCTTCGGCTAACCGGGGGACAAACATTCGAATTCAATTAATTTCCTCTCTTTTCACCTCTGCCTGCCTGGACAAACTTACCGTCGAACACATACGCCAATTCAAACTAACTACAAACTAATTTGTATAACTTTTGCCACGTTTATTTAGTTGCGCATTTAATCACAGCCGCAAAAATTATAATTATTTTGTTTTCTTTGTATAATTTTGTAAGAATTTTTAAATACATGTTTTGTAGTGTTTTGTAGTGATTTATAATTCCATAGGTAATAAAAAATATACTAAGTAAGTTTGAATGAATGCTTTAATTTATCTTTATTATACAGAAACTTTTTTATGCTGAAATGGTCTTGTGATGTATTAAAAATACTCAACGTCTGCAAGGCCGGCGCACAGGGCGACGCGACGTGTTCTTATGCAAAACGTATGCTTATTATTATAAATGATCCACGTCCTTGAGAAGAGTTATAACGTTTAATAATAGAATCTCATAAATTCTGGGGTCTCATATCAAAGCAAAGCGCGCCACGCCGGGCCAACCTCATCGTTGGCAGCGACCTTATTATTCGCTGCATTATTTTACATTCGAAATTTCCAGCTCATTTTTTTTCCGCTAGCAAATCCTTACAAAACAGAAGCAAAGCAGATGAGTAGGATTTTAATCGCTTTCCGCGCCCTCGAGCAGCTACGAACGTAAACAGATCGCATCGCGTGCAGGGCACTCGAGGTGCGTAATTAATTCCTGCGAATTGTTGCTTCTAATTTGTTATTTCCGTCTCGTCGCTGAGAGCGGTAATCCTGCGCGCACTTTACGCCGCCGAAAAGAGGTCCACTTATGGAATTTCTAGCACAACGCATATTGCGCGACGCTCGTTAGGGAGCAAAGTAAAGATTAGGGTTGTCAGAAGTGACAGTCGAGCGTCTTGCAAAATTTCTTCCCCTCATGTATCATACGATGGATGTAATGGGGCCTTTGTTCATGCGTAAGAGCAAGAAGTGGCTGGGATCTATTTACCATCCATAGTTTTGTCACACGCGCAAGACTGCATTTCATTCTACGTTCACATTTATAATCATCCATAAGAAATTGTACAAAGCGTGTGCTGAGAACAACAGTTATAAGATCTTACACGGACACGTGTGCATTCCTACTTATATAAATATCACTATATCAATGTTGTTGTTTTTAAAAACATGAATAAAAGCGCAACATTTATACCTGAAACGAATAGAGTTTGATAAGAGAGCTCAATAGCTCAGGTGCATGTGCTTATACTTGCACGTTAGAGATTCATGGTTCGAATCCCAGTAAAGCAATGGGATGTTTTCTTAAATATCGAAATAAATTCGAGAAATGTGGGTTGCCTATGCAACAGAATTTGAACTCAAATAATAATAAATTGAAATTACAAGTTGTAGAGTACAAGTAATAAAGTTACAGTTCAGAACAGAGAGAAGAAGAAGAGGAGGAATAAAATAGAAGAAGTTGTAAGAAGTAAGAGTTGTAGAGAGCAGAATGAAGAGAAAAGAGTAAGAGTAGGAGACGTAAGAAAGAGCAGGAAAAAGCCAGCCACTCTGAAGCAGGGGTCGCCGGATTTTTAAATTTTTTGGCCCGTGTCGTTAGACAGTCTAACTACTTCGATTGTCCATTGCTCCCGGCCCATCCTACAGCTACGATGTCTCTGCGCTTCATCCCCGAAATACTCAGGCATATCAACAATTTTTATGGTGGGGGATCATCCCCAGAGAAGGGGAACTCCTTATAAGGACAATTCTTATAAGGTCCTCTTCAAAATGTCTAAGTTTTAAGTCGTCTCAAGAGAGGTGACACTTAAAAATATTCTTACAAGTTCTGACCTGTACCTGAAATGAGAGAAGGAGTACACAAATCATACAGGTTACCTTAACAATTTTATAGAGGGATCATCCCCTGAGAGAGGGAACTCTTCCTGAAATGGTACAAGACGTACATACAAATCAAACAAGTCAATATATCTTACTGTTTCTTTATTAACAATAGAATACAAGTTTAGACTTTACAAGTCAACAGAATACATGTCGCCATATTGAAACAGGACTTACGACCTGCTAAGCCGCACACATACAAGCCAGTACATGTATAGTTCGTTTTATTTAAACACATGATGTATTTGAAATGCAGTACAATAAAAATTTATAATACAATACATCGCCATTTTTAATATTTTCGCTGGATGTATAAAGTAGCTAACATAGTGAGCGTTAGAAAATGAGAACAATTACGTATAAAAAACGACAATTCAATGTTGAAGCAGTACAACACTCAAAAACCATACATTTTATCTGATATCCCAGGAAAATTTAGGAAACTATTATACTGAGTGTTACAAATCACAGGCCAAAATACGGAAACACTCCAAAATCATTCACGTCGCCCATTTTTCATGGGAAAACGTAGGAAACAAATATACAGGGTGTCACACAAAGAAAATCACAGGCTAAAATAAGAAAACACTTGAATACAATAAATGTAGCCCATTTTTCCATAGGAAAACTGAGAAAATTAATATACAGGGTGTCACAAAAAGGAAATCACAGGCTAAAATAAGAAAACACTCGAATACCATAAATGTCGCCTATTTTTTCATAGGAAAATTGAAGAAACCAATATACAGGGTGTCACAAAAAGAAAATCACAAGATGAATTACAAAAATAGCACATACAAAGAAAATCCAAAGTAAAAGTAAAAGAATACTAGTAGTTTTACCATTTTTACTATAGAATACGAAAAACTAATCTACACGGTCTCACAAAATGGAAATCTCAAAATTCCACAAGAAAAACTCACAAAAACTTCAACTTCAAGCATTTTCACGTGATTTTAAGTGAAACTAATAGACCGGGTGTGCCAAAGGCAGATAACTACATATAAAAAGTAAATATAAAGGACAACGGAATATCTAATAGCAAAAGAGAAGCAATACTACGCTAGTTGCAAAGAGTACAGGTAAAAGTTAAAAAATGCATGATCCTTTATTTAACATCATGTAAATTATGTAGCACGAAAATTCTACGCATGCAAAATAGACAGGAAAACACTGGTTGCAACTAACTGCCATCGATAGATGAATATTTATAACTCGATGAATTAAAATTTGAATAAGAGTAGCAAATCGCGAGAAACGCGTGTACAGTGATAAAGTGTAAAGTGATAATAAATGAAATGATAATTAAAAACTCACTCTAGATGTACGAACTATAGCTGAACGATGATTCTACCACGCAAACAACTTCCGTCGGAAAGAGGAAATGCGTTAAATTCGGTGTTAAGCAGACAAACTGTTTAAAGTATTTAAAAAAGTTTACTTAACTACATTATACCCACGCTCACAATCGCCTACTGCACACGAAAGTAGTTGCAACCATTTCAAGCAGGCTGAAAATTAAATCCAATTGTGATTCTTAGCAATCTGTAGTTATCCGACGGCCGACGACATCACACTTGCACACTACCAGGGCAATACTTAATTCCCACTTTTAATCAATTACATGCACAATTATTCGCACAACACATTCTACGTCGTACTAAATGCCGTCGCTAAGAGCCGTGAAGATCGTAAGCGACTGGAACCACACCACGCTGCAAGATCCGGGGTTCACTTATAGCAATCGCATGGACTCTGCAAGGACACCACGCTCGTTGAACCCGATAAATAGTTCCAAAACATGCATTTAAACATATAACATACAATACATCAATGTATTACAATGTTTAGAGTGTTAATTACGGATAACTTAATCAAAGAATGCACGCGAAAACTCGATTTCTTGAAGAGCTATGGAATACCGTGTAACCGAATTCAATCCGCCGCAAACGTGCACGGTCGCGAACGAGTGCGGATCAACTGACGCCAACAGATAAGAACGGACCGGTTGAGTCGCTTGTAGCGGCTGAGTAAAGTGAATCGCAGCGCCGACGCACTGCCATCCATGTTGCGCTCTTGAAACAGATTTCAAAATTTGAAAGAGTTAGTTTTAAAAGGATTTCTTACACGTCACAAAATGTAATGAAATGATTTTAACCCAGGATCATCGATACTACACAATACAATACACAACATTAGGAAAATGAACATAAAAAATAATGATGGTTGGACCTGACAACAGATTTCCGGATCTCACTTATACACAGTGATAGTCCCGTGATCCTTTAAAGTATGGCCCGGTGTCGGGAGAAGACGGCTCCAGCATCATGTAGTGGACGAATCTGAAAAGAATTAAATTTATTAGTACCGGATCAGAATAACATTATAAAAACGTTTTTATATTTCTTTGTGCAGTTTCAGTACCAATATAATAGTTAATATATAAACGAATCTAGTACCATAGTGAAATTTTCCAATAAATTTTTCTCATACATTTTGCAGTTTATTTTTTTCGATTCTGAGGTTAGCAGACGAAGACATAGATTACGCCAGCGGATTACCACCGCTTCACGCCGAGCTGCTTGAGATGTTTCCTATTCTATTTTCTATTCTCATGAAAAAGCACATTTTCCTTTCCCTGCGCTACTACAAACTTCAACTCCAACCAGAGCCCCAGCGCTTTGCTAGTGCGCTAAAATAATATTTTTTAAAAGAATGACATAGGCGCTCGTCGAAAAAATGAAGAAGAAGGCGGATGACACACGGTGGCAACGCCGTCGACGACGAAACATATGCACATGATACATCTATTCACCAAGCGTGTATTTTTTTCCACTGCCGGTACTGCCGAGCGTACGTGTGCCATTTTACAACGGTGAAAAGCCGTGGGCTTTAAGCAGTAAGCGGCGCGAAAAAGACGCATAAATACAGCGAGGTTTATGTAGGCAACGCACCGAATATGTTCACTTACACCCGCGTGTGCACGTACCGCACATTGAACGCACGGTCTCACAAAACGGCGCAGCTACTGTAAAATGCTCGCTAACTTTATGCGAGCGATGCAGCGAACGTGCGCGTTCTCCGAGTTTAATATTTTCGCATTTTCGGCGTTAAACTTCGCTGAACATTGAATATCGATGTGCAATGCGCACCGTCGATGATGCTGCTAGAGACAGATCACAATGTGCATCGATATTGCTCGCGAATATATTCTGCTAAATCAACAGAAAATATCGCGAATACTTGCAGGAGTGCATAGTGTTAAAAACTAACGATGCGTGGATTTCGCGTGAGGCAGGAATAATATTTTTGCATCACGTTATCGCTGTAGATTATGCCATCTTTTAAAAAATGCCTTAAATTTTTATCACCGCTGTTTATTTTGTTTTTCAATTCGCCTCGCTTTTTATCACGTTCATTATTTTTATAACTTCATAAATATGACGTACCAAGCAATTTGATTCGTTTTAGTCGTGTGTTCGATTTATAGTTCTTTGTTTTCTTTCTCTACGCGTCTGTATTTTTAGCTACGCATCATTCACGTTCACCGCTTCCGTTTCGACTTCAAATCTCCCAGTTTCCGCTGCGTCCTCCTACCGCTGCAACATGAAATGTGTCCGTAAACATAAATATATTTTCATAATTTTCGCATAAAAATAAAAATACCGCCGCCACCGGAATGCAAACATTTCGGTCCGTCCGAAACGTAAAAATTCCTTGGGCAAACAAGTCGCTCGCAAAACAAAACGCACTAAAAAGTCGCCAAAAGCGCGCGGCTCGGTGAAAGCTGGGGCGAAAGTCTAATAAATTTCCTATCGTTAACAACTTCCTATTGACGGGGACGCATCAGCGTTTCGAAGCAGCGCGCTGTTGTTCGTGCGATGGCAAATACTTGGATTTTTCCCTCCCCGGCTGCCATTCTCGCCTAAATTGCTCCGTCGTCGACGACCGACGCCGGGCGCCCAGCTCCTCAGCACATGAATAAACGGAGAAAGTCGCATAAAAGTTTTTTCGCTATTTTTTTCGCATAGCCTTCTTGGCTTCCTCTGCAGAAGCTAGAATAATATACGTTGTCAATGCGATGTGTGCGGACGTGCATGTGTTGCCTTTGTGAAGGGCTTTGCTGGATGACGGCCGTCATTTTTGCGCTCTTTCTCTATCACGCGGGTGACGTGTTTATCCTGCGGCGCTTTTGTGTCCCAACGCGTATGAAAGAGTGTGGAAGAGTTACAACCACAACAAGGAGTAGCATATTGCACGCTCATACGACCATCCCGACAAGCGCGAGCCGAGCATAAACAAAAATTAAAACTTGACTTTATTTCTACACTGAATTTAGCCCTGGGTCTTGAAATATTTAGGTCGATTTTTCCTGTATACAAATTGAAATACGACCAAAGAAGAAAACATATTTTCCCAAAACCTATTATACATGAATGGCGCATGTCAAACCACAGCTTTGCATTTTTCCACTCTCGTATTTATCGTCGTAACAGATTTCTTATAGGTTGTAAGACGTTGTCGTGTACGACCCAGCCGCTTCAGGAGGAGCACTCCTTTCAGCTCTTTGACGCATCGTAATTTTTACGATTATTCGCCATTCGCACGGCCGTAAAAATTCGTTTTTATATTTGCCGGAGGATCTTCCGCCATAAAACTACGCACCGGCGTGCGAATCTCGGCCAGGTCCTTTTCAGCCGCGTGCGGTCGGGCGCATTGTCCACGGCCAGCGCGACGTATTTTTTTTATAAATTGCAAAAAGTCCTATAAATACCAGCCATCTCAGAGCCTCTCAAATATATTTGTAGCTCAGGTTTACGACGGGATGATGACGCTTAAGTAGCCATCATGATTTTAGTACTTTATTTATTTGAAAAAGAAAGAGGTCCCCACTGTAGGCATCACGTAATGATTGTAAATTTTGGCAAAGCCGTCGATAAATCAGCTTACTCGCAAATGTAACGTTTGATGTCATTTGCTCACTGATGAGTTAATTTTACATTGCAGAGTGTTTGGTTTCTTCGCTTAATATATTGTGAAAATAAACGAGTCCACAATTTGTGCTAATAAATTGTTTATATAACATAAATAAATAGCAATGTTTCTATTTAAACAATGAAATAATTGAATTGGGTAACTGTTGCGTTACGAACTGCTCGAAAATAACGCGTAATACAATCATAAATCGGAGTAATTTGAGTATTAAATTTCGATAATGGCTCTATTTGTATAGAGATTTTTATTATACTCATTTGTTTGAATTTATTTCATTTACGGTTTGCGTAAAATTATTTCGACTCGTGCATTTAATGATTAAATTTACATTAGGTTCAATTTGTGCGCCGCAAATATCATTGAAATTTAATTATTGGAGCAAAAACAAATTAAATAGATGCATTAATCACAGATAAAAAATATATCAATTTTAAATCCGTGCTTTTATTATTTTTAAATCACAGCAAATGAAATGAAATTATTCACGTTTCGTAAATAACATTAAAGCGTGGTTATGTAAATTCGATCGCACATTGTCAACGCTACTTCACTGGCATTAATATCTAAATCTCAAGATATCAAACTTATTGTGAAGTAAAAAATTATGCGAGCGCGCATAATACAGCAGGGCTATCTGCACAGCGCAGTTTTTTTCTGTACCGCGAGCAATTTTTTCACCACAAAAAAGTACAAAGCCGCAAGAACGAACATTCGAGTAGATAGAGAGCTATTGTATAATGCTTCTTAGAAGGCACTTGAATAGCCATAAAATATCTATAGTCGTGCACGCGGGGCCGGGAAAGACGAGGGGAGCGAAGATGTTGCGAGAGGCGGCGATATAAAGGCTCTTGTTATATTCATCGGTCGGCAGTTTAAGAAAAAAGGGGGTGGAAGCACGCCGAGAGCCGTAACATCCTAAAACGTCGCCAACTCCATGTCGCCGCCAACAATGAAAGTGTGGGCAGAGAGGGAGCGACCTAGGGCCGAGCGCGATAACCCGCATCTACTCAATATTCATGGACCGTACTTAATGATATTCTAATTACTCGGACGAATTAATGCGGCGCGCCGGCCGGTTGGAAGACATTCTGGTCTCATATTTCAGGCGATCGCCTAACCACCGACTTAGGCTATGTTTAGATGGGATCGAAAACATCTTCAGTTGTAGTTTCAGTTTACATTTTCGCAGCCTAGCGGAATAAAATGTAAAAATCTTTTTGCCAAGCGTTTATGACATCCGTTTGCTTCATGCGCGCGCCCGTGGACGATTTATGAGGCGATTTCTTGCGCGGCGCGGCTGTAAAACTGTATAACTAGCTGGTTTAGAGCTTTAAAGCCGACGTCGCTGGCTTTGTCCTACGTTTATCGGCGTTCTTTGCGCTTCGATTCGGAGCATTCAGCACATAAACCTGTCAAACGCCACGGAGCATGCTTCAAATTTACACCCCGCTGCGATTAAGTATTGTGCAATAGTTTCCTCAACTCAAAAGTCCTAACTTAAAGGTTCTTAATTTTACCCTTCTTGAGTTTTAATCTGTGGCATTTTGCTTTGCCTGGTATCCTTCCCACGGTATGATTATAATAATTGCGATTCTTTGCCGTGGCGCTGTGGAAAAATAGGAAAATCATAGCAAAAGATAGAGGCGCGACATCAAACGGTAATTGCGAGAAGCAGATGACAGAAGTCGGCGGTGGCGGCGGTACCGCAACGAGCGCGACGAGAACAATCGGCGTTCGCTTTTCGCTCCTCCGATTACCGGATGCGTGGGCCTTGATTATTCTAGGCTCGTAATTGCGGGCCGGAATCGCGAAGCACAATGTCCTTTCTTTTCCATTGTGCAAACTTCAATGTCAGTCGCGATGCATGCAACTAGCGATTCGTCTAGCGCGTTGACATCGCTCGCCAGACCACCCGCCCGCGCGTTTTCCGATTTTCTCTGTGCGTCCACGATTGCAATGTCGTCTTCCGCTTTGAGCGCAGCATTACGTTGGTCTAATATGTCGTCTATTTTATGCTTTATGCCCCTACAAAGAACAAGATATCCTGTTTCCGACATTTTCAGCATAAAAAAAATTGATAATTTGTTAAAAGCTCCCAAAATCATCACCAAAACTTCAGGCAACTTTCGGCAGGTCTGAAAGGACAAGAGGCAAACAGGTAATAAATATCCAATTAGTGCTGCTCCTGACAGGACCTAATTAAATTTAGCAATACTTTTTGTTTGCTCCCAGAGGCTTTCCATGCGTAAAATATATAATATTGCTAAAAATAGATTTGGTGGGGCGGCATCGAAAAAAATCACGCCTACATTTCCTGAAAAAAATGAGAGACAGTTTTCTGTTCTGC